GTTCTTCGTATCACCAACATTTTTTTTAATCGTATTCGCATTAGTGGTAATTCATAGTTTGACTTACTTTGGAGAACATATTGTTTCACTTGTGATCAAACAATGAGTGATATGTTTCAACTAAGATATCTAGTTTATATAGTAGTCCGCACTAGTGCAAGTTCATGTAATACGAGTTGTAGAACGAGCTTATGGTGACCTTACTAGGTCGCACAATTTCGCGACTTCGAACATTCACTAATTGGTAATCTATTACAGTTAAATTCTTATAAATATTTGTTTACTTAATCGCATTGTTCACACAACTATCTTCAATGTAATATCAAGGGGATTATTAATAAGGAAAGTAATACAAAATAAAGGAATGTGTAGGTATGGCTGTCTATTGAAATTATAGAACTTGCATAATTGAAACGATATCAGAGACACTCACATTGAGGAAAAAAGTCTTACTGTATAAACTTTTTTAATTTTAGATTTGTGCATTTAAATTTTGTGTATAGGCTTTCAACAGCAGACAGATTTACCTATGGCTGATTATGACCTCACTAAAAATAATTGATAGGCAAAATTATGTTATTTTAATATGAGTAGCTTTAACTTCCTGTCTGTCGATATATGAGACACAGTAAAAAAACACATTGTGTGTCGTATAGATCTGCGTTCTGACACTTTACAGGTTAATAAGGGTGATGATAAATCTCCAAAAAACTATAAAAATATGCGGAGTATGTAAGTTACTTCAAAAATTCTGATTATTATTTCTAACTTCTACCGTATTTCTACCAAAACAATGTGGGAAGAGGTGTCAAAATGTCAAAAGATGTTATTGTAAAAATTAAAGACATTTACCGATAAAATGTTGTCATAACATTAACAACAGATTTCTAATGTTCACTGAAGCTAATCCCTAGCTTGAATGAACATTATAAATCTGAAAATTATTAAAAAATCTAAAGTGATCTATGGTTTTAAAACTTTTCAGTTGCAAGCATGAAGTAAGTCTAACTTAAAATATTCGTAGCACGTTTAATGGGATAGTTCTAAGGTAATGGACGTCTTGGGGATGATAATTATGATGGTCATGAGAAACTAGCGTTTTGGCCACCTTAAGTAGATACGGAATCGCGGAAGGCCTAACGGGTTGCCGGTGCTCCGGCTCAAAGAGCAGGAGTAGCAATGGGGTGGTTTTTAGTGAGTAAGAGTCTGACACTCCCTCTCGCCTAACCCAAGGCGAGAGAAATCATTGGATGATTTTACCCCCTTAAAAAAGTACCAACCATCCTTTTTAGATACAATACATACATTTGATCCTACGGCCTAAAGGTTTCACCTTTGGTATATAACGGTTCGAAAGTGTATTTGACAACCTGGTTATTCAGGCATACAATACAGACTTGATAAAATAAAAATAAACATACCCAATTACCAAACATTTTTCCTTCCTCCAGAGAATATGAGAGAAACTACTGACCACTTGGATTCAGATCCGTAGGTAGTCCAGCTAAAACAAGGTTTTTTAACACCCGCAATCCTTTCCTACAATACTTGGAAACATACCTATGTAGTGTTCTTACAGTATACAGTTTTTGTTGTGTTTTTTTTTATGTTTTTATGTTTCTCTTTAGGTGTGTTATTGTTGATCTTACTACTTTTTCTTCAGGTAATATTTTGGTACGTGGTGGTACCAAAGTTGTAGTTTGGCACCAGCCAAATTAAATGTTTTTCTTTCTCTTTTGTTAGAAAAGAATAAATCTTGCTTATTTATTACAACTTTAAAACAATAATTACGACTGCTAGAGGTGTCTTAGGTACGATTTCCTAGTTAGTAAAAATCTGATCGGGATTTCCGTTTTGCAAAAATTCTTAGTAGTAGGAAAGTAATAAAAAGGCATCAAGTACAAAGGTCGAAATACAAGGCATGGTTTGTCACCAGTTTTCTTTGCGACCGCGGTATCGATGCTTTTGAGCCCAAGCGTAGGTCATGATTCGTGTCCATTCAATTTCCTTTTTTGTCAAAACAATGTTTATTTACACACTCTGAACTATAGAAATGTATAGGTAAATGAAAATGAAAATTCTTGTGAAATAATTTAATTTATAAATATTATTATAATATTTTTTGTTTTAGTGGTGTATGTAGTGAGCGGGTGCGACGTAGACGGGAGCGGCTTTAACGTGCACGGGAGCGGCAGTGGGCGCGGAGTTGTGCACCACGACGTTGAAGCCGCTGTGGTCGTCGGCGGAGTACTCCACAGTCCTGACGGAGCCGTCGGCTTCGTGGAAGGAGTACGAACCCTTCACGACATCACCGTCGCGGGACTCCTGCTGGGACTTGTTGTCACCGGTGTGGCTGTCAGCTACGGAGTAGTTGTACTCGTATTTGGGGTGAGCCTGTAACAAAGACGAGCTAAAATTATTGTCTGATACTAGAAACAAATTAACTGTAAGTGCATTGTACTGTTACATACATCGAATTCATCAGCATGAGCCACAATAGGAGCGGCATGGTAGGCGACAGCAGGAGCGGTGGCGTGGTAGGCGACGGCGGGAGCAGCGTGGTAGGCGACGTGCTGGGCAGGCTGGTCGTGACGTACGATGTTCTGGGAGGAGACAGCGGCAGCAGAAGAGTAGTGCACGGGGGCGGGCAGGAGACCACCCTGGCACACCGCTACCAATCCGCAAAGAGCTACAATCTGAAAGATTCATGTTTAATATTTAATGAAAGTACTTTGTTGAGGTATAAAAATATTTTTAATGTCATTATTGAACCTTAATATAATTTTAATTTATGGACTTACTTTGGTAAACATTTTGATAGTTCTAGTTCAGTGATCAAACGTTTAATGATATCTTTGTTTTATCGCTATTAGTTTTTATACTGGTTGACAATTAGGAAAGTGTAGGCTGCAAAGCTTGTTAAACTAGATTTTTGCAACCTCGCTTTTGGTCTCTTAGTTTTTTGACCCCCATTCACTAAAAGGCTTTCAAAAGCTCTAAAGTTTTTCTAATTTGCACAACAATTAATATTTATCTGTATTTAGTGTCATATTAATTGGTATATGTCCCGGATATTGGAGGCTACTTTTAAAGCTGATGCGGTGAGGTACAAGAAAAGGTTCAGCCATTGTAGTGAGAGATCCACAGTAATTAAAAAAACTTCAAAATTCTGTAACGGCGCGGTATTATGCCATGTTATATGATATTGTAGTATTATCAGTCACTAAGTAAAATAGGTAACGTTACCTGGTGGTTGCTAGTTACATAACTAGCAAAGTAATAATCAAATAAGTTATTTCAATTAAACCATAAACAGGTATTTTTGAAACGTCACCATATAAAGTCTATCAGCGAAGAAAAACGATCAAGAAACTTCATTTGTGCACCTACGTTTACATATTTTCAAGATGAGTTTATGTACTGACCCTTTGGTTACTTTTTTGTCAAACAAAATTCTACTAGACCAAACTGACTAAGTGCCGATTTTTCAACCAATAGTTGATTCTTAACTGTAGAACAAAATTCACATAATTGACACTTTTTAGTTTGGAAAAATTGGGTACTTGCCAACTAGTCAAATTGAATATTTTTTTCGAACTGTCAAAAACGAGAGTTTTCCATGAATTTTCTACGATATCGTGTATTATGACGTCACGTTTTTTTGTGTTAAACAGCACACTTATTTCTTAAAAAAATGCTGGAAAGATTCTAAAATTAAGTTAGTCAAATATCAAATTAATGAAAGTGTGATTATTTTTTATTATTTTATTGTATTGAGCAGTCGAAATAATTTAGTTTTATTCCGGAATGTACCCAATTGTCAAATATTCAAAGTTATTCTGTAGTTAAAATTTATCTGGCGTTGGAATAATCGGCTCTAAACGTTTGAAAAGAAACGTTTTTGGAACGCTTGACTGGGACATTGGATAGGATACATACTAACTTATTAATACTGTTTACAGTATTACAAAAATACAGTAGTACTTTCAGTACATGGAGTCAAGACCTTTGATGGAATTAAACGAATTTTCAAACAATTAAACCTAAACCTGTTACCTAGGAAGCGTTGTGCTGCACGTGCTCAATATTTAAGTCTATGTATCAGAGCTTAGATTTGTGATCAGACCTTGTGTCGGGCACATAGGTTCAATTGTAAGTTTGTGACTTCGGTCTTGTAGCAAATAACAGAACGTGTGAAAACTAATTGAGTTATATGTATATAGAAATACTTTGCCCTATTTCTGATTCTTCTGGAGATCACATACTTTCGATGTTTTTGGTTAGACCACTTCTACTACAGATTAACTGCTAATTAAAATATTCTTCGTGTTATGCTTCGTTTAAGCTGGAACGTTTTTATCCTCCAAGATTCTGGTAGCCCTTTAGGTTATGGGTGACATTTAGATAAATCGTAAAATTTCCACTCAATACACAAGGTGCCTTTTTACTTTAATAAAAATAAATAAATTCATGACTATGAAATTTATTAAAGACACTACTTGATACTTACGTAGCTCTATATCACTTTTCTAAGTATTCTAGTATATTTGGTCTGAGTTTGGTTGAACATCAAATATAGCCTTTAATCTCATTAGTACAACTCACCATCTTATTTATCACATCAAGTATGTTAGGTACTTACGTTCGTCTATGAACTAACAGCATCAGATGTTTTCGTTAGTCGTCGTTATCAGATAACGCAACAAACTTGTTTTGGTACAAATCAACACATATTATTACGACTCTTAAAACTCGCTCCAACTTTACTAATCTTTTGAAATACTTTCGCAATAATCATTCAGTACCATATTGTTAGAGGTTTAAGACCAATGGTTTATAAAGTCTATTTATTACTTTTTATCAAATCTACTTTTTATCAATACAATAATAATGTGTAATACTCAAGATATTTATTAAGGTGCATGATTTCCTTTTCATTATTTGAAATTTGATAAAAGAAAATGGGTAATACGAAAGATTGGTAATTGAAAATGCAAATCTAATTTAGAATCGTACTGGTTTTGTATTACGTACAAAAATAATAACAATTTACAATATTACTTAAGCATAAGTTTTTGGTACATTAGTGGTGGTAGTACTTGAGGGCAGGGGCAGCCTTTACAAGCACGGGCGCAGCTTTGATGTGGACTGGCGCGGCAGTGGGCGCAGAGTTGTGTACAACAGCGTTGAAACCGTTGTGGTCATCAGCGGTGTACTCTACAGTTCTGATGGAGCCGTCGGCTTCGTGGAAAGAGTAAGAGCCCTTCACAACATCACCATCACGAGACTCTTGCTGGGATTTGTTGTCACCAGTGTGGCCATCAGCAACCGAGTATGTGTACTCATACTTGGGGTAGGCGACCTCTTCTTGTTGAGCGACAAGTTTGGCAACTGGTGCAGCGTGGTAGGCAACGGGGGCTGGGGCAGCGTGGTAGGCGACCGCGGCAGGGGCTGCATGGTAGGCAACGTGAGCAGGAGCAGCGTGTTGGGCAGACTGGTCGTGACGCACGATGTTCTGGGAGGAGACAGCGGCAGCAGAGGAGTAGTGAGCAGGAGCGGCGTGGTAAGCCACAGCGGGAGCGGCGTGGTAAGCTACAGGAGCGGCGACGGCGAGCTTGGCTACGGGAGCTGCGAATGCGAGCTTAGCCACGGGAGCAGCGTGGGTCTGGTCGTGCCGGACGATGCTCTGGGAAGAAACTGCTTCAGCAGGAGAGTAGTGAGCAGGCGCAGCCAGGAGACCAGCCTGGGCCGCAGCCACGAAAGCGCACAGAGCAACCACCTAAAAGAAAATAATTTGGTTATAAACACTGAATCACTATTGAGTAGAGTAACTGTCATATTTCACACGTGAATTTTAGTTTTAAACTTACTTTGGAGAACATGTTGTTTCTTTTGTGATCTAAAGGTGAAATGATAATCCAAATATCTAAGTTTAGCTATTTATAATAGACAACATTGCGTATTACCAAATTCTAGTGTAAGTAGTGGAAGTTGTCAAACAGGCTACACGCGACCTTGCCACAGGTTATATGGTACACTAATCAATCCGTTCACTTAGGGCACATCGCCTATTGCGATAAATTTCTCAAGTCATATGTCATTTTATCTATGTCAGGTTGAAATTTTGAGGCCTAATAATAATAAACTCAATATAACATAACAACTCATATATACAGGGTGACTTGAAACTCGACGTATTTCTCTCAGGAGGTGATAATACAACTAATTTCCTACAAAATTAACCCTGAGGTCTCAGTTCCGAAAGTGGCTAGTTTCTGAGATATTCAACATTTTCAGTTTTGGTTAAAAGTCCCGATCTAACTACAAAACATCAATAAATAAAAAAATACTAGTTTAATTTAAGTGATTTTAGTTTTCATTTATTGTCAATACCTCAATAAACATTTATTAACACAAATACTTTCAAAAATATTATTTGTTTTGAAATAGCAAGTAAATTAGCATCAAATTTAGTTTTCACTCACTAATTTGGTCAATACAAAACTGGATTAATTTAACTCGTCGAGTACCGGTTTTGTAGACACAATTATAGAACAATAGGTTGCGGTCACCGGAGACCGCTTGGTGTTTGACAGTTTAAAAAAATTATATTACACTAAGCTTAAAGAGTATTAGAAAAATTAAAACGTTACATTATTTATTTATAAAAGTCTCCAAAACAAATTAAACTGTCAAACACCAAGCGGTCACCGGTGACCGCAACCTATTGTTCTATAATTGTGTCTGCAAAACGGGTACTCGACGAGATAATAACTTGATGATAAGTAGATTGTAAAAAAAAACGAGCAATTTCAAAAACTTCATTAGTTCCAAAATTTGGTTGAAAATGTGCATTTAGAAACAAGGAGACAAATGATATTTTAACATGATGGTTGGCCCGCGTACTATCAAATTACCGTGCAGCAATCTCTGAATACCTCGCTTCTAATGGCAGGGGGTCCAATTCCATGGCGGGCACCGTGTTTAGACCAAAAGCAGGTTGATTTTTACGTAAGCGGCACATGCAGTCCTTTGTTTATGCAACACTAATTCCGTCTATCGAAATTCTTCACGAAAAAGTAATTAAAGCGACTAAATTATATCTGTGATTACAGAGATAAGGAATCGTGTGCAGGTATGTATTCATCATAGGGAAGGTCACTTTGTTCCAAATTTTGTAAATAATGATGTTTTTGAAATTCCTCTTTTTCCTTTACACTTAACTTATCATCTCTGTAGCGATTAAACGCCTGGATATGCAGCAACTGACGTGGCGGAGGGGGTTCCACCAAGCAGGGCTAACATTATTGACAGGATAAAACCTGGACTCATCGTCTTCCGACAACGGATTATTCACATATCTGCCGCCGTGGCTCAGCAGTATACGCTCATAAGGACCTCCCTGGGTGATCATCAATTTATTAATTCATTTTTGAGAATTTTATAAATAATTTAACGTTTTTGGGTAGCTAATAAACCAAGGAACTTTTTAAGGTAGGTAAATGCAGTTTTCTGTAGACCAAATCAGTGACTCAAAACAAAATTTGACACTTGCTATTTTAAAACGAATGATATTTTTGCCAGTTTTAATAAATGTTTATGTTAATAAATGTATTGACAACAAATTAAAACTAGAATCACTTAAATCAAACTAGTAGTTTTTATTCATTGATGTTGTTGGGGTTCGATTGGATATTTTTCACTAAAACCGAAAATGAATATCTCAGAAACTAGTCATTTCGGACCAAGGACCTAAGGGCTAAATTTGTGTGAAATTATTTGTATTATCACCTCCCGAGAGGAATACGTCGAGTTACAAGTCACCCTTGTATATTTATTTATTTATTTAAGACTTAGTACAAAAATAAATGTACAGGCGGACTTAATGCCTTGGGCATTGTCTCACAGTCGACCTTAAGGTGGTGCAGAGATGAAAGTGGCAGGTGACTAAGCAAATGTGGTAAATAAATAACTATATATAAATACTTAAGTACTTAGATACTTATAAAAGTACTTGTATACTAATAAAAGAAAAATAAATTAAACTATAAAAATCTGTAAGAAACCATGGTTACTTTATATTCAATCCACGTTCTAAGTATGAAAACGTTGTTTTTTTTGAACAAATTTTAATCAGATTATAGGATGGTGAGTCATATGATGTTGGGTTGAAATAGTCACCGAAAAAAGATGACGGGCAGACATGTATAGGAAATGTGTTTACCGACCAATAACAACCAGATGTATGTCGGTAGAAAGCTCTTTGTATGACTATCATTTGTTACTAAGGGGGGCTAGTTTCAATTCGTTGTGAGGACAATGTTAAATTGCATTAGGATATATGAGGAAAAAATATAAAGATTATTATGTTACGATCTTATTCATATATTGCAATAAATATAATTAACAATCAACATGATTCAGTAGATAGAAGTATTGCGATGTTTTAATGGTGGATATAGTGAGCAGGCGCAACGTAGACGGGAGCGGCCTTGACGTGCACGGGAGCGGCAGTGGGCGCGGAGTTGTGCACCACGGCGTTGAAGCCGCTGTGGTCGTCGGCGGAGTACTCCACGGTCCTGACGGAGCCGTCGGCTTCGTGGAAGGAGTACGAGCCTTTCACGACATCACCGTCGCGAGACTCCTGCTGGGACTTGTTGTCACCGGTGTGGCTGTCAGCTACGGAGTAGTTGTACTCGTATTTGGGGTGAGCCTGTGACATAAAGTTATAATATTAGTGATTGCAAGTAGTAAAAACTATCATTAACATACTGTAATGTTGACACAATGAACACTTACGTCGAACTCTTCAGCGTGGGCTACGACAGGAGCGGCGTGGTAGGCAACAGGGGCGGGAGCGGCGTGGTAGGCCACAGCGGGGGCAGCGTGGTAGGCGACGGCAGGGGCGGCGTGGTAGGCCACAGCTGGGGCAGCAACGGCTACATGCTTGGCAGGTTGGTCATGACGCACGATGTTTTGGGAAGATACAGCAGCAGCTGAAGAGTAGTGAGCGGGAGCGGCGTGGTAGGCGACGGCAGTGGGAGCGGCGTGGTAGGCGACTGCGGGAGCAGCGTGGTAGGCGACGTGTTGGGCAGGCTGGTCGTGACGCACGATGTTCTGGGAGGAGACAGCGGCAGCAGAAGAGTAGTGCACGGGGGCGGGCAGGAGACCAGCCTGGCACACCGCCATAACTCCGCAAAGAGCTACGATCTAAAATTATTTTTGTTTTATTCATATGTACCATAGGATCCAATACAAAACACCATAATGTATTTAATAACTCGTTTATTTTGATTGATCCTAATTGAAAATAATACTTACTTTGGAGAACATGTTGATTTGTGTACAGTGTTCAATCGGTGACTGATACCTAGGACCAATTATTGTTTAGTTTTATACTTACTGGATGTACTTTAGCACCGAACGCGACCGATTAAATGACCTTGCTCTTGTGTGTTTAGACAACGTTGATATAATACATTCACCTGATTACTTTCATTCAATAACCATTCATTTTACATCTACGCATAAGTAATGCGATTGTATTGTGTAAAAAACCTCCAGTTTCAGAGACAATATTTCTGAAATATTATCAGATCAGACATATACGAAATAAAACAAAAAGGACGGATTATTCGAATTTATTCAACAATTATAGAAAAAATAATTTTCTTAGTATAGCAATACCGTACTTAATTTTATAAATAGTTTCGATAATAAGCCGCGAAATAATTCATTTAATGATTACATTGTACAATTTCGAGTAATTGTTATACTTAGGTATAAATGTTTAATTTACGTTAGAAGAAAATGAGTTTACTTTTATCTTATAAATCGTTTCATATTTTCATTAGTGTCAAGTGCACGAGTGAAATATTATTATTTTGTTTATCAGTGCGAGATATTTTTGTTGATTTTCTATTGTCTCATTAGTAGGGCACTGTTGTTTAGTGTCTTGTTCAGCATTGTTCTCTATCATGTTTTCATATTTGTTACGATGTTCCTATTGTCTATTAAACTAAACAGAAAGGGATACAGATTACAAATACGGCTCGATTAAACCTTAATAACTACTAAAAGTGTTCTTAAAACAACCTAACAGAACAAATGTGCTGTCTATAGTATTATTATGTCACATTATGGCAAAATGGAAATGAAATATTTTTATAGGACAAAATGTCATATTTTGAAGAGCTTAAATAGGAATTTCATCCTTGTTCCTTGTTGTTTATACTACGTTTGAAAACAAATTCAATATTAATATATCGCTGTATATTCAACTTTAGAACAAACCAAACATTACATTCAAAAATTGGCGCCTATAAAAAATAAAAGAAGCTTAGGGAACTATGCTCTTGTTTCGGAAACTATTCATATTCTAGAAGACAGATGTTGATAAATGAATATTTGTTTGTTTATCGCAAACAAAAGAATTTAACACTACAATCAAGTAGTGTCAACGATTCAATTTTAAATCTTCGTGAATTATTTGACATCTAGTGTCGTCATCGTCAGAATAGGGTAGATGCCTAATTTTTATTATAATGTCCGTCTGATAGATTATTTTAAATCATTAGACACATATTTTTTATTTTCTTCCAGAAACGAATACTTTCGACGATATATTGATTTGAAATGTCACGTGACGTCACTTCTATGTACATTTTATATATAACTATGACGTTTTAGCCTCCATTCCTAAACTTTGATTCCTTTTATCTAAGTAATGTTTTATTATACGACAAAATAAAAAAAATACGTGTCTAATATTTTTCATTACCTAACTTATGGACTAATTAGATTTTTAATTTTCATACCCTGTCATCATCCCAATTGTACAAAACTAAAATTATGTAGTTGTGTCTTTACCCATATGCCTTTCTATAGAATTACATTTTTACTAACAACTTCAAAGAATTAAGCTAAAAATCAATGAGAATATGATGGCAGTCATAGATAGTTAGATAAGTAGTTCAAGTACTTTCTGTAACATACTCGTATTTTAGATTTTTTTTTTAGTTTTAGGTCAGATTCACTGACCAGATCATTGATTAACTCGTCGAGTACCGGTTTTGTAGACACAATTATAGAACAATAGGTTGCGGTCACCGGTGACCGCTTGGTGTTTGACAGTTTAATCTGTAAACATTTTGCATAGTAAGTATGTAGAGTCGAATGATCCCATAGTGCTTGTGTGACTACCTCGAATGGCACATTGTTAGAAGTACCGACTATCGTAAAAATAAAATTTATCTAATAATCTATTTACAATTTAAGATCTATATTACTTTGTGTATTTATGGCAAGCGGAAACGGTAACCTTTTAGTTTTTCCTGATCTGGGTATACGTATCTTGGTTTTTTTGATAAGCCTTGGTAGGCGGGTGGCACATAACCTTTGGGATTAACTGGTAACCTTTGGTAGTTCAAGGAGTAAGTGTCGGTGAATGGTGATGCCTTTGGCGGTGCCGCCTGTACTGGACTGTATACTCTCGCAATGTTCAGGTGCAACCTATGGAGCTTAGCATACGGTGAGTATTGACGTTTTTTCTTATCGATTCCAGGCCCCACTTCCATACTGAAAGGAGAAACAATATGATCTATGTAAATAGAATTGAATTACTTAGGAATTTTCATAAAGGAAAGTAATGAGAAATCAAACTGCAAAGACGAGGAAAAAATTACAAACTGAATTCCTATATAATAAGACAAGAAGAATGCTATGAAATATTATATCGCATTTTTCAAACTTTTGTAATAAATTGGTAAATCTATATATATACAAAGGAGTTATTATTGATTTGATCTCTAACACAACGAACAATCGAAGTAGTGACTAATACATATATTATTGTTCGTGGATTAATAAATAGCTACAAGCTCTTAGCGCCAGTTACATAAAATATTTACAAACATCAGGCTATGTGTTAAAAACTACAATTCTTAGTTCCATGTATAAGTATGTGCTAGGCTTTTTTATTATATCGTTAATTTTACATGATTTTGTAGCATGGTTAATAGATTTTCTCTTGACAGTATAGTCGATGAACACAATTTTTTTATTACAATAACAATACATTGTACCCTGACTTCTTATTTAATATCTAATAAATCATAATAATATACATAAATCGTAATCAAATTATACATACTATACAGTTTTAATTAAATAAACATAGTAACTAATTGGTAAAAAATAAAAGATATTAGTAGGTTTTTAGTTCATAAAGCTTAAAGCTACAAAACGTAAATGTTTGTATATGGACAAACACTGTATTAAGAAATTACTTACTTATTGGGATTTAGACCATAATTTGGATTGCTTATAGAGTTCAAACTGAAGGGTCTAGCCACAGACTCGGAAGGCAGTTCAAATGTTGGTAAAGTGGTTGTCAACACTGGCACTTGTTCTTGTTCTAGTTCGTGGTATATACCGAATGGCCTTACAAAATTGTTCAACTGAAAAGTACGATTTTTATTACTGTCAAAATTATCATTAGTCTAAAAACCTACATGGGTGAACAGAGGCTTTCATCTAAATTTGGAGTTGTCTATAATCACTATGCTTGGTAAAATTAAGAGGGCGCTGCTAGCCATTCCTTGATGGTTACTCAAAGCTTTAGGTCTCGCCCAGATTCAGTCAAACTGTTATAAAATAATTTGTATGACTGTGTTAAAGTTTACGACAAGGAATTTAAGTTTGTACTCAGTATTGCGTTAAGAAGTTATATGATTTCTCATAACTGAGTATCCCGAGAAATCATGAGGCGACTTATTTTTTAAGGGTCATTATTATTATTTTTTTTTAAATAAAAACGTTGCCCCACACTAGGATTTTCTCCTGTGTCGTGGGTGCGTTTACAAACATACAAGTTCACATACACAATGATATCCAGACCCGAAACAACAATTTGTGGATCACACAAAGTGTTGTTCCGTGCGGGAATCGAACCCGCGACACGTTGCACGGCAGCCGGTTGCCTAGCCACCGCACCAACCGTGCAGTCAAATTATCACCCACATCGAAACAATATCTGTAGTTATTACATTCGGTTGAATACCTAACTACCTACTTTCCATTTGGCCTAGACATTTTCTCAGTAATTTAATCTATAATTATAACGATACTGCATCTATTGAGAAATTGAGAAATCTTTTCTGTAAGTTCAAAGCGCTGTATGCGTATGATTCACCATCTTCATAATATCGGCCAAACGATATCCATTGACGAACATAGGCTTGATCCAGTAACTTCCAGAAGGGTCGGTTTGAAGCGAGCTTTTTATCAATTATGGTGTTAATGTAAGAATGAAAAGAAATAGTTACCTTAAAAGGTTTATTGTCTCTCGCAACCGGTTCTGAAAAACTTCTATAGATCGCATTGTGACCTGGGCTTCGACTGACTGTTAGAACTTCAACAGTTTGTCCTGGACTGTAGCATTTCATTGCATCGGCATTCAGTTGACTAGGAACTCTAGGTTCCAAATGGGATTTTGGCACACTTGAAATAGAACTCTCTTTCGAATGATGCAAAGGTCCCTTCGATGTAGAGGCTCCACCAAGGCTTGGAGTGATCTTAGTATATTCGTCAGCAGAGTTTTTATTTCTCTGGTTCTTTTGGTCGGTGAGTGGTGCGTACTGTATGTTGTTATAAATATTTGGGGCAATTGGTGATGGTGTGCTAATTTGATAACTGTCTTCATACGTAAAGCTCGGCAAATCATGTCTATTAAATCTCAGAACTGAGTCCTGATCGTCGAGCATTGGTAGTATGTTACTATGGCTATTTACCACAGATATTGCTAAAAACGTTAAAATTATAACCTGAAAATGATAATAGGATTAAGAAACTGAAACTGAATAGCCAGAATTTTAGATGTTGATTATAAAAAGTAAACTTACATTGAAATACATTGTGTTATAAAGTGATCTCGGCAAGTAGAACAGGTTTTCTTCTACAAACTTCGCAAATGTCACTGGAATAATGAAAATAACACTTTGATCACATAAATAGATGTCTGTGTGTAGGAAGTAATTTTTATTTAGTATTTATTTTAGTTTCTATCACTTTTCACTGTTCACTAGTTTTCACGAGAGTAAACGTATTGTCACCGTTCGATGCACGAGTGGTGTGAGCGATGATACGCTGATAGACTCGATTGTCTATGTTTAGATCGTTGTTTTCATTCACATCCAATGATATCAATGCTTGAACTATGATTACATTTCCACCCATTGTATGCGGCAACTCAAAGGGATAGTGTTACGTCACCCTTCAACTATTTCGGTCCAGGAATCTTTAAATGGCAGTCTGTTGTAGTTAATAATACAAAAACATAATCATCCATGTGATGA